ATTTCTGTGATAAAAACATTCTGAAAAAGAAAGTTAAAGAAAAAGGATTAATTTTTTGCCTCACAGTTCAAATGCAGAGAAATCATGGAAGCAGAACCCTGAAGTAATCACATCAAATCCACGGCCAGGAAACAGGAAGTGGCAGGAGGTGGGAATAAGAATGTTCACTGCTTCTCAGTTTCCTTTCTCCATGTATGATACTTATAGTCCAAGGTCCTAGACAGTGATCCAGATTGGGCCAGTCTTCCCACTTCAGTTAATAGCTCACAATCATCCCCTGTGCTTTGAATGCACCCAGAAGCTTGTCTTCTGGTGATTCTACATTCGGTTAAGTTGTCGATTATCACTAACCATCACAGTTTAATTTTGTTTTTGTTGCATTTTTGTTACAGGTTCTTGTATGTTAGAATCAACTGAGCCACGGGAAAAAAATGCTTAACATGCCATATTACCTTGTATCATTATTTTAATTTGTTGGCAAAGAAATTATTGTAAAACCATCTCAGAAATAACAGTACATACTAAGCACTTTTAGCACATTTTGCCACAAGACATAAGAAAGATATTCTGTAAAGATAATTTTACAAACTTTATCCCAAAGCCAGAAATAGTATTATCCTTTCTTCTGAAACACTATCATGCTCTCAATTCACAAACAGCCATGCCAGCTTACACCAATTACTTAGAATTTTCAATGTTCCAAACACTTATCAATCAGCACTAAACCCCACAAATAATTGGCAGTAAGATGTAACAGTCATTACACTTAAGTGTGGATGATATGAGGCTTTATCTTCAAAAGAAAAGGGAAATAGTTTGATAAGGAAGCTTATTTAAAAATCATCAAACTAAAAAGTCCAATAGCTGTGATGTACAAATGAAACTTAAAATATCAGAAAGAGAAAACATGTAAAATTGGTGCCATAAAACTCTGATTTATGACACTAATTTTAAGGGAAAACATTGAGTTATATTTATTTTATTATGTTAGACTTTAGTTCTCATGAAATTTGCTGTTTGCTCACTTTGCTTCTTTTACTTTGATATGCTTACATAACCAAGAAAGACTTAGAAAAGCTATGTGTTATGAAAACACTTTGTAATCAATGAATACAATCTGTGAGGAAATGGTTTCCTGTGTTAATAAAGCCTGTGAGAGGTGCAGGTTGTCAGATGAGGTCAAGTAATACCGAGATGTGCTTCCATTCAGTTCATCTCCCATAAAATGAAACTGACAAGTGTCCCATGTTTAATTTCTCAATCACTGATCTTGAGTCCACCCACTTCACATCCTGCCCTCATTAAGAGCTAAACTTCAGCACACTCAAATTGCATATTCTGGCACATTGTTTTTCTAATGGATTTCATGTGTCTCTATGGATAGTTTTCCACTTGATGCTTCATGTAAATTGAGGAAATCTCACTCTGCCAATGGCCAATTGCACAGGCTACTATCATCTTCACACAGAGCCAGCTTTTTAAAACATCAGAACTTCAGCCTCTTCAAAACAGAAACATCACAGGCATGCATATGTGAGCACTAGTCAGTGTATATAAATGAACTTGTCACAGATGTTTTACACTTTCTCTTTCACTGACTATGTCACATATCCACATTTTAGTTTAGAGTTCCCACCCAGAATTTAATGTTTCAAAAACAAGTAAAGAGCTATGAGGGTGGGATTTAAATGAAGGAGATACAGAATGCACTTCTATAAAGGATTAAATGGAAATAGTGCTACAAGAAGAGTTAAAAATGGTGATAAAGGCAAAGTAGTAAAGGGAATACAGGAAAAGTTAACTAACACTAAATACATTTGGGGGAAAAAGTCATACGGAAACATGTAAGTGTAGAAGCTTCCTAATATATGCACATGCACACATAATATATGAGTCCAGAATCATTCATAATGGGGCAACAATGCCCATACTATACACCACTCAATAATAAATATAAAACCTAGTACCAGGACCTAGCTGCCACTGTTGGAGGTGTTAGCAAGTGAGGCTCCATAAGATCCCTTCCCTCAGTATTATAGGCTGATGACAATGCTCTTGCTTATACTCAAAACTTGATGATAAGCCCTATTGATAAAGGTACCCTACACTTGAGTCATCAGACATGAAAATATCAAGCTGATACTGAGCTAGAAACATCCATAGTACTGGCATGTGCTACAGAATGAGAAAAGAAATGACCAATCAGATCCAGCTATAACAATGACTGCCCTGGTGAAGCAGGCCCAGTGGTACAATAGTGGCACAAATATGATGAGAGTAACCAACCACTTTATGCTTGCAAATACGGCCTCTCTACAAGTTGGAAAAATGAGTGAGTGCAGAAATGGATGGTCGGAAGGGAATGATGGATCTTGGATTTTGAGTTATGGGGCAGGTGAGTAAGTAAAACACTGTAAGATATTTTCACAAATCTAATAAAAGTAAGAAGAAAAAAGCAAACTCAGTATAGTGTTTTGTTTTTTTAATGAAAAGATGAATAATTGAGGCACTCAAGAAGAACTACACTAAATCAGGTGTGGTTTGATGGACTTCTTTTGAAAAATAGTTTAAATAACTAATTCTTCATTTCTGAAAGAAAGAAAGAAAGAAAGAAAGAAAGAAAGAAAGAAAGAAAGAAAGGAAAGGAAGAACGAGAGAAATCCTCTTGTTGAAAGTTAGCAACTTTGAAGTAAAGACAGGAAACAGGAGCATTTCTTTTCTCACCCTTACTCATTTAATTTTTTTGAAATTTACGTGTATTTTATTCATCATTTTACCTCTAATTTTCTCAAGCAAACAATGCCAATAATATATCTGTTCAGGAAAAGGTAATGGTATGTACTGATCACTCAAATTATGTACAATTCTTTTTATTGTCATAATGTGACTTTCCCCAACATATTAAAATATAGGCACATAATGACATGAAATATAACAAAATCATCAACCTCAATTAGAAAACTATTAGCAGAAAAGATTTAGGGTCTTCTGTATTAAAATTTAAAGCAGAGTGCTGCATATTTAAAAATTACAGCAGGAATACAGTGCATTCTGAATGTAAAATACATGTTCCTAATTATAGCTATGTTTAAGATTCATGACATTAAACCTAATAATAATGATAGAAAATATCAATAAGCTATGATCACAGTTTGGAGGAATTTCTAAACTTCATTTATAAGTTGGGTCTTATATTTGAAATGATGCATTCATAGCTCTGCTTTCTAAGTCAGGCTTGAATCTTCATTTTTAATATACAACTTTAGGCAATCTTCATTAAATTGCTTATAATTTATCTAAATTTATTAATTATATCTTAATAGCAATGGTTCACAAAAATAAACAGCATGACTTTCCTAAAAGTTTCAATTTAAGTTATTGAAAAAATTTATTGATGAAACCAAAGCTATACCCTTGGATGCAGTAAGTTGTACTTTGTTAAGACAAATATAATTATTGCAGCTTATAAACATGGATTCAGGATGTCTAAATACTGTGTTACAGCACTGAGTTAGTACAGAATCTTTTAATAGTCACAGAAAAAAGAAAGTTATGCATCATGTTATCTGCCAAATACACTGGCAGAGCAGGGCAATTAGAGCTAACAAGGAACAGTCTATGTAAGTTTTAGATGCTACATGATGACTGTTTTTTAGCTTTGGTCTCGGGAAAGATCCTAACTGCCAAGAATATATTACAGTAACCATACTTGCTAGTCTAGAAGATATTAGGTAAGACACAGAGGAATGACTATTAAGGGAAGGAAAATTATCTCTGCATAACTTAACTCTGGATCTGTGAGACTCCAACTGATCACAATAAGCAATTATAATAAATAAAACATCATTTTTACAGAATCTTGGGCATAGGTGAAGCTTTCCCCTCCTGGAAACCTCAATTTATACTATCATAGTGGTTATAATATATTTTATAAAGATATCATTTTCCAAATATATTTTTATAAATGTAATAGCATTGTAGACAAAAGAAGATTATAGGGGGAACAAAGTTAAACATGAGAGAATTTCTTAGGAATTGACTCTCCCTCAGAACTTGGAAAACTTATTAGGAACTAGGGGATTCTGCATCTTTAGCCCTACACCTCAGCCCCCACAGCACAGAAAGAGAAGCCCGTCTCAGTTTAGTGTTTCCCAGAATCAGAACACAGGAGTGGCATGAAGAAAAAGCTATTCCAATAAACAAGCTTAATAAAAAAATCACATAATTCTCCTTCAATTCAATGCCACAGACATTTATGACAATGGAAAGTAAAAAAATGGCATAAAGAGAAAGGAAAGCAATTCCAGTTTGCAAGGCTTTGATGTGGGCTCTGGTGCTGGCATCTCTGGAACCCCTGGCATTGTGACGCATCCTCCTCTTATGTTTCCACAAAGAGAGTATTAGCAGGAAAAAAGCCACCAGTGACACAGCAAATGGGATGACTGCAAAGATAGAGTTGGTGAGTAAAAGACGTCTGAGAAATGTAGTAGAGTTTCTCGAACTTACATTAAAAGGCAAGTTTCTTCTATTCACATCAATCCAGACATCAATATGGGTGTTGATGACTATGACATTTACGAACAAGAGGGTCAGAGACAGCATCAGGATCACTTTAACCACCTGCCTAACTCTCCATTTTAGGTAAAGAAAAATAGAATTAGAAAAATTGACTATCTTGAGGAGGTAAAAAATGCTGAGTGTGGTAGAAAACCAAAGATTAAAATGATTGGTCACAACCCAGGCAATATTGGTCATTCTTACTATTATTTCTGTCATTTTTACTGAGCGAATAAGAAAAAGCAAAAGAGTTGTTTCTACGAGCCAGAGCTGAGCAAGTCTGGAGACTGTCAGAGCAGTGATGATTTGATCCATTAGAGAGATCTTTCTTTTCTGAACCCAGTCCAGACAATTCACCACTACTATGAATGCATGCAACAGGTTTCCAATGACAAATTCCAGAAGGCAAATGGCTATAAGTATGCTCTTGATGATAGCAGCCATCACCTGAAAGAGAAGCACACAGTGTCTCTTACTTACACTGCATTCATCTAAGATGATATTTCTGTTTGCTAAATGGAAAATAAGAAAGAGTCTCTCTTTGGAATCTCACACATTCCATGCAAAATTAGGGGAAATTCAAGATATTTCGGTCTCTGGCTTCATAGTTTTCCTCCTAAAAATCTTACATCTTCCCCTATATCCTATCTGAGCAGTAGATACCTTGTGCACAATAACCTGGAGTCTTTTGCAGCTGGTGTTAAAAAAATGCTAGCTTTTCATATACTACTTTGTAAACAAAATGCAGTATTTAAATTCCTAGCATATATATGTTGATATGATCATTTGTTTACAGGGACAACTAACATTACAAAATTAAAACAAACCTAACAAGAAGAGTTTTAGCATATGGGATGAGATATGGAATACACAACTAAATTTCAGCTCTCAAGAAGTAGATGGATATCTACTCTGTGTTTGAGGCCACCCTGGTCTATATGGGGCTTTCTAGGACAGCTAGGTATATATATTGAGAATGTGTCTCAGAAAACAATATATATATATATTAGTTGGTACATGGAACTTCCTAAATATTTATGATTTACAGTATCTATTGTGTACACACAAACTTTACTCAAATCTCATAATAACAAATTATCATCATTCTCTAGTAGTCTCCTGGGGACATTATTCTATAACAATATTCATACATTTTGATTTTTACAAGTTAATAAATATATGCAAACATTTACATATGCAAATATGTTGAGGTCCATTTACCTTTTTTTTCTCCAATAATTCTAATTTTTTCACTAGTTCAGGCTTTAATATTAGTCTACCTCATGCTCAAGACCACGGCAGATAAGACAGTGCTTCAAAAAACCTTCAGCTAATATTAACTATGAAATATAATTTTTTAGTAAACCATGGAGTATTTCCTGTGCACATGAAAAATACTGGAAATCTACTTATGGTGACATTAAACACAACTCACCCTCTTTCATTGGCTCTACTCTGACCAAATAGAGCTGATACCTGTATGAGCCCCTAAGCCTTCAGATTTTATCCACCTGCTTCACCTCACACCAGCATCTGTTCTAGGGATGGCAGCAGAGATAATAAGACAGATCAAAGATGTCATGCTTCGGATTTGCATGAGGAGTAAATATAATGACACAGCCATTCTTCAGGTCTTGACAAACAACTAAAGAATTTGTCTCAGATAATTTTGAACAAAACACCTGACAGTGAATAGCTTTTTCAAGTATAGGAGGAGTGTTGGTAGTACACAAAATCAGTTTCCTAAGGTAACTGTTCTGAAACATCATTTGTGTGCAATGTACCTCCAATAAAAATCAGGCTGAATTTAGCAATGTCAAGAAAATAGCTGAATACTTTAAACAATAAATGTTTAAGTAGTAAACAGAGTAAATCTAAAAAGTCATTGTGAGAGGCTTAAACATGGAAAGCATGTTTGTTAAATAATATTGCCCCAGGAGATTTAGAGGGAATGGAAATCTAAATAACCTTTAGTTCTCCAAAACTGTACCACATAAAAATGAAAGGAAAATAAATTGTTGCTCATTGTCCTTAATTGCTTTCAGGAAATAAGTGAAATCTTTGGGTGGTAGTGGAGGTGATGGGATGAACTATAGCTTACAGGTAACAAAACTAGGTATCCAATGAAGGGGAGATTAACATTCCTGTTGGTACCCAAAAGAAGTTGAAGGATTTTAAAGGAAAATAAGGCTGTGGTGGTTTCAAAGAAGATTGCCCCCGTAGGGAATGACATGATAGATGTGGCTCGCATAAAATGACCTTGTTGGAGGATATACCATTGTGGGGTGGGATTTGAGGTTTCCTGTGCTCAAGATGTGCTTAGATGGCACACAGTTGCTTCTGCTGTCTGACAATCAAGATGTAGGATTCTTAGCTCCTTCTCCAGCAGCATGTTTGCCTACCTGCCACCATGCTGCCTGCCAAGACAATAATGTACTTAACTTCCGAACTGTAAGGTAGCCTGATTAAATGTTCACATTTATAAGAGTTGGCATGGCCACGGTGTCACCTAAGAACAGCTAAGGAAAAAGCAAATTTTTAAAGTAGCTTTTCTTCACAAAATCAGATGTTTGGTTGAAATAGTAACAAGAAACACTCAGGCTGTCTGCACCCAACTGAATTCCATCAGTTTAAGTAAATCTGCCATACTTTCTCTAATTAGGCTTCTATATTCTGGCCCTGACCTCAAAGCTTGCTGACTCCAAATGATGCAAAAGTTAGGCAAAGAAAAACACAGCAAAATGATGACAAGGAATATTTCCTCATTTGCATGCTAGCAAATGAGAATCCAGCTTTTATTGCAACATCAACCTTGAAAGACTCTAGCCTATGATGGTAACATAATTCTACAGACTGAATTAATTTTGAACTGTCTTATTTACTCTTCCTTCAGCATGCTGCTATGATTTTCTGATGAACACTAGTCATATAGCATATAAACATCAAGAAGTTTACTTAGTTTGCATCCAGAAATCAAATATTGGAAGAATTTTAGACTGATTGAACACCACCAGCATGGACAGTGGGCTTGTCCACTCCCACCTTTTAATATTTACTAAGCTTTGTAGGTCAACTTGTTTTGAGCATAATTTTCACCCAAGTAATTACACAGTTTTATTTTTAGTTTGGATGAGCTACATTATATATCTTCTCAGCTGGTGAAATTCTCCCAGCTCTTGTCATCTTCAGAATTGGTTTTTTTGTGAACTTTGTTTTTATTTTTAATTGTGTACCAATGGGTGTGTTTTGTGTGGGTATGTGAATGTGAACTCAAAAATCCATGGCACTAGAGATATCGGATCCACCTAGAGCTCTACTAACAGGAGATCAGGAGCCACAAAATGTGGGTCCTGAGAAACACACATGGTTCCTCTGAAAGAGCAGTAAGTAGGTGTAACTGCTGACACTTCTCTTTACTCTTGCTTTGTGAGTTTTAATATGAAAAATTACTCTTTATGTATTTACAAATTACAAGTACTTCTGATTTCCTGGTGAGGGAGTCAATCATTTTGATACCTGACAGAAACTTGCTTGCAAGGATTTTTCTACCAAGTAATCATTTATTTCTAAACATACCTATAGAGTTTTTGCCTATGTTTATTAAATAAAAGATGTATAAATATGCATGTTTCGATATGCATATTATAGATAGATACATAGACATATGTACCATGCCTTTAGAGTTTTCAAATAATATAGTTACTTTTTATTTATATGTTAGGGATTACAAGGAATTGTGACTCCATCTTGTTCATATACTTTTTAATATTATTTTCTTTTAATGAATCTTGATTATATTTATATGTAGCAAAGATATATAAGTTTGTCTTATAAATTCTTGTTCTTTTCTATTGTAATTTGTACCTCAGTACATTCAAATTTCATGTTTAAATCTCCATCTCTTGGGTGTCAAGAACATCCTATTCAAAAGCACATATGGAAAATATGTATGAGGTAGATTTAGTCCATAATGAGTTCTTATTTCTGGGAATTTTTCTTCTTAGCATTCTTGTCTAGAGAAGATTGTCTTTCCTAGGGAGTAGAAGTCAAACCTAAGGTGTTCCCTACATAGAGTGAAAGACTTTGCAGTGAGCAAAGGAAATCTCCTCAGGGCAAGAGTAGCCCTCTCTAAAGAGTCATGTCTGTCTCTTTATGAACTACATGAATTTCCCGTACCTGAACTCACTGGACATGGATCTCTCAAGTAATTATTTTCTTTTGACTTGTCTGCCTTTCAGTACTCAATTTTACCACCTAATTGGAGCTGAGCCAGAGAGGGATTCCTTCCTGTATAACCTCTATTGTTATACTTTCCTCAGTTCTTAGAAGTCTTGTGTAAATGTTTCACATGATGTTCTATTATTATTCTTACTCAAAATACCTCTCTTGGGGTATCATATACATTTTTCATATATTGGATGACCTATCTTTACTAGGTGTCACTTAGGAAAATACAGTTGGCATCTAGACTATTAACAATAAAATGGTCCATCTCTTTCTGTGCCATCAGTGAACTTGATGGCAGGATTTTTTCCTTTTTTTTTTTTTGATAGAATTTACAGCTTCACTTTCTTCGGTTGTTTGTCAAGACCTCAAGAGCGGCTGTGTCATTCTGCTTACTCCTCATGCTTCTGCATGACGTCTTTGATCTATCTTATTATCTCTGCTGCCATCCCTAAAACAGATGCTAGGGAAGCGTGTGAATAAAGTCTGAAGGCTTTGGAACTCATGCAGGTATCAGCTCTATTGGGCAGAGTAGAGCCATTGAATGAGTATGAGTTCTGTTCAATGTCACCATTAGCAGATTTCCAGTATTTTTCATATGCACAGGAAGCACTCCATTGTTTACTGAACATTTATATTTCATAGTTAATATTAACTGAAGGTTTTTTGAAGAACTGGGTGATCTGCCACGGTCTTGAGCATGAGGTAGACTAATATTAAATCCTGAACTAGTGAAAAATATCAGAATTATTGGAGAGAAAAACAAGTGTAAACGGACCTCAATATATTTGCATATGTAAATGTTTGCATATACTTATTTACTTATAAAAATCAAAATGTCTGAATATTGCTATAGAATAATGTCCTCAGGAGACTACTAGAGAATGATGATAATTTTTATTCTGAGATTTAAGTAATGTTTGTGTGTTCACAATAGATATTGTAAACCATAAATGTTTGGATAATTGCAGGTTTGTATTTGCAGAAGTTAAGTGTTTCTTTGCAATGGTTGTGTATATTTGTTGCTCAAAGATTCCATGTTTATTTATTAAACTGTACTTGTTAATGTTCTCTATCTTCCTTCATTACTATTTCTGCCTGATACATTATCTTATGAGATACTTAAAACTTTACTATACCAGAATGTAGTTTTCATTCCATTATCAAAATGCAACCTGTTGCTTGGTACTATATTTGAAAAGTCATCATAGCTATAATTATTG